CAGGCGCACCAGCGCCTTGGCGATGACGCCCACCTCGGCCTTGGGCGCCAGGTGGAAGTAGAGCTGCGCCACCGCCATGACCACCGCGGCGCTGCGGCTCTGCAGCAGCGGCTTCGTGTTGCGCAGCAGCAGCCGGTGGTCCGGGTCCATGACGTAGGGTTTGCGGGCGGGCAGCGCGGCGGTGGCCGCCTCTCCCGACCCTGGACCCTTGGCCTCGTCCTCCTCAGAGCCGTAGAAGGCTTTCTCCGGACTCTCCTCTAGCAGGGACTCCTGGACGGGGACAGGGGCAGTGGGCACCTCTCGGCGACCGCGCGCCCACGGCGGCCAGGGTGCCCGTGATGGCCGCGGTGCCCGCGATGGCCACGGTGGCCCACGAGGCCCGCGGTGGCCCCGTGGCCGCAGTGACCGTGGCCGCGGCGATGGCCCACGAGGCCCGCGGTGGCCCCGAGGCCGCGGCGATGGCCCACGAGGCCCGCGGTGGCCCCGAGGCCGCGGCGATGGCCCACGAGGCCTGCGGTGCCCACAGTGGCCCTGAGGCTGTGCGGGCAGGCGCCGTCACTCACGTTCTGCGTGGGGCTCAGGAACTGCGTGCGCGCGTAGCGGGTGAGCATGCTGATGATGACCACCTGCCCCCACTCCTCCACGTCGATCAGCAGGTTGCACAGCTTGCGGTAGTTTTTGTGAATCAGGTCAATGCGCTCGGGGCACACCTCCTCAAACGCCATCACCACGCTGCCCGCCACCAGCTGGGGCAAAAGGCAAGGGAGGGCGGTGACCAGGGAGGGCACGGGACCTGCGGGGCACTGCCTGCCCCGAGAGAGGACGCACCGTGGTCTTGTCCGCCAGCAGCTTCTCGATGACTTCTATCAGTTGGTCCTTCTGGTCAGAGTCCAAACTGAGGGAGAAATGATGGCAGGAGTTTGTCCCCTCCTGTCCCTCCTGTCCCCTCCTGCCCCTTCCTGTCCCTCCTGTCCCCAGCTCCCCTGGTGGCTGCTGAGCCATGCACACCTCCTGCACCCCACCTTATGGATAACGAGGTGTGCAGCCCGCCTTTCTCCTCCCCTCTCCTGTCCCTACACTTTCCTAAGCCATGTGAAGAGCAGCCCTGGAGGCGAGCAGAGGGCAGGGTGGGGGCTTGGGGCCGGCCCTGGGGCAGGCGTGGGGAGAGGGCATACCTGTAGAGTTTGGGGATGGCATGGGCAGCTGTTTTCCGCACATAGGGAGACATGTCCGAGGCGGCCTCCTTGATGGCCAGCATCATGATGGGCGCTATGATGGGCACCCGGATGCTGGAGAGCACGCGCAGGGCGCTGGCGCGGATCAGCTGGTTGGGATCCTAAAGGTGGGGGCGGGGCCGGCCTGAGCGGGGCTGGGCTCCTCGAGGACCTCTGCCTACACCGGCCTGGCTTCCCTGCCCGCCGGCCTGAGGCTGGAGGCTGTACTGGATGCAACACCTAGTGACACACCTGAGCGGCGTGGCCAGGGGAAGCCCAGCAGTGGGAAAGCGGGAAGACCTTTCAGAGCCACTTCTGTTCTCTAGGAGCGAGGAGTCTGTGTGTCTGTGCACATGGCAGGGCAGGGCCAGCAAGTGCAAGTCAAGGGCATTTCTCCCTTGCATACCTTTCCCAGAAACCTCTCAGAAACTGCTCTTCCATGCTGTTGGAGACTGAAGAGCTGTGAGGCCCTCCCCTGTACCGACTGTATCCTACACACCCGATCCGAAGAGCTGTGAGGCCCTCCCCTGTGCACCCTACATCCACCCAACCAGAGCTGGGACACCCTAGATTCTAGCTATGGAGCCCAGGGCCATCTCCCCATGGCTGGTGACAGCAGCAGCTAAACATCGTGTTTTATCTCAGGGAGAGACACCCGCAGCAGGTGCTGGAACATCAGAGAGATGCTACCAGCTTTCTAAAATGGAAAAAGAGATCCATAAAACTGCAGGCGAAATTGGTAATTCCTAGCAAAATTCTGGAAATGGTATTTAAATGGGTGGTTTAGAAGCATTTACTTGAATTGCAGGACTCAAATCACATTACATCAATCAGCAAGCCCCGATTTACTTTCACTCTCTATTTGGAAATGAGTGAGAGTCACAAAAACCAGCTTTCCCTTTTGACAGGGCGCTTAGGCTGTAGATGGCAGTGCTATGGTTTTTGTTGTTGCTTTGTTTGGGTCTGTTTTTGTTTTTGTTTTGGCAGCACTGGGGTTTGAACTCAGAGCCTCATACTTGCTAGGCTGGAGCTCTACCACGTGAGCTACACTCCAGCCCAGTTTTTTTTTTACTGTTTATTTTGGGGATATGTTCTTGTGAATTCTGCTCAGGCTGGCCTTGAACCGTAATTCTTCAGATCTCGGCTTCCTGAGTAGCTGGGAGGAGGGGGGAGCTGCTGCTGCTGCCTGACCCAGTCGCACAGTGGCGAAGGCTCAGCGTTTCCGGCGGCGGCGGCTCCTGTGACTCACACTGCAGACACTGGGGACTTTGTGTGTTGAAGTGTAATTCCCACCGTGGGCACGAAGGACACCTCTTAGAGATGTACCAGACTGAAGTGGCCACTCACGCTTGTAATCCCAGCTACTTGGGAGGAGACATTAAAAGCATCCCTGTTTGCAAGACTCTCACCTCAACCAAGGCCCCGAGTTTGAATTCCAATGTGATGCCCATTCCCCAAATGAAAGAGGGCGAAGAGGACTCTGAAGCAGTGGCCAGTGGGTGAGCTACAGAGTTGGTCTCGTTTATGTGCCCCTTTCAAGTTGATGCCTGAGCCACCTCGTGACTGAAGACCAGCCAGCAAGCAAGAAGACCTGCGCTCGCGGCTCACGCCTGTAATCCTGGCTACTCAGGCACTGAGACCTGAAGATCGTGGCTCCAGCCAGCCTGGGCAGGAAAGTCCTCCAAGACTCTTACCTCCAATGAACCACCAAAAAAAAAAGCCAGAAGTGGGTCTGTGGCTCAAGTAGTAAAGTGCTGGCCTTGAGCTTTTACAAAAGTTCAGGGACACGGCCCTGAGTTCAAGCCTTGCCACCTGTGGCTCCAGATCTGTGAGCTGAAGAACCCATGTTATTCAGCAATAGCCAAAGAAAATAGAGCAAGACCATGGAGCGTCCAGGCAAAAGCGCTGGGCACTCACCTCCCCGCGCCCTTCTCAGCCTGCCTCTACCCCCACGGGCTTGGCCCAATTTCGGAGGCAGGAAGGAGCCTCCCAAGGCCCTCTTCCCACACGGCTCCAACAAGACTCGGGCCCCAGAAGCACCAGGAGGCCGCTGACCTTGAGGCCGCGCTGGAAGGTGGAGATGGACAGCAGGGCCAGGTCTTGCTGTTCCTCGGCATAGCGCACCAGGTACACGTAGACGAGCTTCTTCACCTGCAGAGGGACGGTGGCTTTCCCAGGGGGCTGCGCTCATCCAGGAGTCGGCTGGGCGTGGCCGGGACGTGGGGGTGGCTTCCTCCTCGACCTCATCCACAAGCCAGCTCCAAATACCCACAGGCTCTTCCGGGGGAGCCAGGCCTTCCCGTCCCCACCGCCCGCCCCCAGCTGTCTGGCCCTGGCACCCGCCGGCGCTCACCACCCTCCCCCGCGGACTCACCTCTATGTTCTTACAGGCCACGTTCTTCACCACAGCGGGAAACAGGTCTGAAGCATTCTTCCCACGGGCAATCATCTGGGTGCGGGTCAGGCAGCCAAGGGAGGGAGGGAGGGAGGATGGAGCGTGGCCAGTGAGGGAAAGCTCACAGCCCCAAGACCCTTCCCCAGGGGAAGCCCCCCACTCACCGCCACGATTCTCTTCATGGCCTCCAGCTTGAGTGAGTCCTTGTTGGTGTCCAGCATCTCCTTGAGGTCATCGTGCCTGGCAGGAGGCACAAGAGTCAGCCGGGGCGGGGGGCGGGGGTGGGTAATAGAGATCACAGGGGTCCAGGCACACAGAAGAGACTCGGGACAGGTGCTGGTAGCACACACCTGTAATCCTAGCTACTTGGGAGACTAAGATTAGGGAGGATCATGGTAGAGAAGTCTGAGAAACCCCTGCTCAGCCAATCACGCCACACCCATCCCAGCCACGTAGAAGGCAGACATCAGAAGAATGGTGGTTCTAGACTCGTTGGGGTAGAGAAGCCTGTGAGAGTCCGTCTCCACGGAGGGAGGTGTGCACAGTGCGGGCCTGCCATCCTAGCTGCAAAGCAAAGCTCAGACAGGCGGCTCTCAGGTCACGCGTGCAGCCAGGGTGAAAGTGGGCCCTCATGTCAAACAACCAGTGCAAAAAGGGGTGGGAGGTGTGGCTCAGCAGGGGAGCATCTGCCGAGCAAGTGAGAGTCCTGAGTTCAACCCCTGCTACTGGAAAAAAAAGAAAAGAGAGGGTTGGGGAGAGGGACACCGCAAGGGAGCAAGCAAGACCCTGAGAGGAGAGGCAGAGCCTGCGCCTCCACACAGACTTTCATCTAGAACAGATGTGTTGACGCTGTAATGAAGATGCTCCCAGTTGACAGCACAGGGCCGCCCGCACATAGGGTAAACATACTACAGACAAGCGCGGATTCCACAGGCCACAGTTCACAGCCCGCCCCGCCTTGAGCTAGGTGCTGGGGGAGACGAGTGCCACATTCTGCTAGCCCAGAAAAGGACTAAAGGTAGAGCACTTTGACCCCTTCGAGTGCCTGATGGGGAGTTAAGCCTGGCGCTCTGGCCCTTCCCCCGCGGTGAAGCCGGCTCCCCCAGGCTTGGCATCCAAGCGTCTGGCTTGAGGACCAGGCAGGTGTGCGGGAGGTGACGCACACCTGTGGATCGTCTAGAAACAACTGGAAATCGGGAGCTGGGAGAGGTGAGAGTGACATCCTCACGGAGGTCACGGAGAGAGTGACATCCTCACGGAGGTCACGGTGGCCACTGCTGATGGTGAGAAGTGGGGGGGACACGAGACCCAGGAAGGCAACTCCGCGTGACTCCTCCCTGGCTGTGGACGCACAGGAGCGTGCAGCAGACTGCGGCACAGCGGGGAGACGCTCTCACAGCACACGTCTGTCCTGAGGAGGTGGCGTTTACTTATTCAGTTTGAACTTGGGTTGGGGCCTTGCACTTGCTAGGTAGGTACTCCCTGCCACAGCCCCCCCTCCAGCCACAGCCCCCCCGCCACAGTCCCCCTCCAGCCACAGCCCTCCAGCCACAGCCCCCCTCCCAGTATCCCTGGCTTCAGCCTTGCTTTGGCTATGGTCTTGTGCTTCTTGCTGAGCCAACCTTAGATGGCGATCCTCCTCCTCCTCCTCCTCCCACACACCTGGGATTACAGATGTGACTCACTATGCCTGGCTTGGTTTTTTGTTTTGTTTTGTTTTTGTTGGTCATGGGTCTTGAACTCTGGGCCTAGGGCTGTCCCTCAGCTCTTCAGCTCAAGGCGAGTGCTCTACCACTTGAGACACAGCGCCACTTTTAGTTTTCTGAGTGGTTCACTGGATATGAGAGTTTCCTGCCTGGGCTGGCTCTGAACCTGGATCCTCAGATCTCAGCCTCCTGAGTGGCCAGGATGACAGGTGTGGGCCACCGCGCCCGACTGGCTTGTCTTTTGAGACAGAGTCTCAAGAGCTTTTGGCCTCAGCCAGCCTCAGCCCTCCACTCCATTCCTCTGTAGCTTTTCACAGGTGTGCACCACCTCACCTCCTCAAGAAAAAGCAAGTGGAAAGACAGCCCACCACCACCCAACCCAACCCAAAGCCTTGCTTGAGGTCGGACAAGGGCGGTCAGCATCCAGGCCCACGCACACAATTCCGCTCTTCCTGCCTGTCGGATGCTCTGCCCCCAACGGGAAAATACCTCGTCCCGTCCCCTGGCCAAGCCAAGACCTGAGTTTAGGCGGAGCGCAGGACAGAGGGCAGCCCCGGCAGTGGGCCTGGGCCGCCTGAGGGCTCGGGCCCCGCCTCTCCGGTGTATGACATCCACCCCACAGACACTCCACCCACACACGCACCCGCACACAACACGCTGCGGAGCCTCCGCCCTGGACCCTCGCTGGCCTGCAGGGCTCAGTTCCTGTCTTTGGGTGTTCTTCACACCAGAGCGTCTCCACCACACCCCCACATACCACAGGTCCTGGCAAATGCACACCCAAGGACACCTGGCCCACCAAGCTGGCGCCCACGGGCCCAGGCAGCAGCGCTGGTGGGGAGAGCCCTGGGCTGCCCCCCCAGCCCCCCTCCCCGCCGCCAGCCTGGGTGATGAGACTGAGGCTGACCATGAGTTTCAGCTCCACGGCAGACCTGCGTGGGGTGCATCCCTGGAGGCCCGAGTGCCCCAGCTCACACTCACTGCTCCCCCTCCCCACCCGAATCCCAGTCCAGCAGCCGGGAGGGGCTGCTCAGACCTACGCGGAGCCCCTCCAGCCTGGGGATGGAGCTTCCACCCTTGAACCCTTGGCTGCTTTTTTGTCTCTTTGTCTCTTTTTTTGGTTTGCTTTTGTCAGTTGTGGACCTTGAGCTCTGGGCCTGGGCACTGTCCCCCAGCTCTTCAGCTCAAGGCCAGCGCTCTACCGCTTGAGCCACAGCGACACTTCCAGTTTTCTAGTGGTTCATTGGAGATAAGAGTCTCTCAGACTTTGCTGCCCGGGCTGGCTTTGAACCGCCATCCTCAGATCTCAGCCTCCTGAGTAGCTGGGATGACAGGTGCGAGCCACCGGCACCCGGCTCCCTTGGCTGTTTTACTACCCTGTCCTTCAGAGCCTGCAGGAAGTGAAGCGCTGGAGCATCCTGCTCCACCTCTGAGGGAGCCCTGCCACCAGCCCGGCCCTCCGCCTGCCCTTGAAAGCATCTGTGCGGGGTGGCCGCTGCCCTCCTCTGGCTGTGCGGGCAGGTGGGCCCCGCTCCTCTCCATACCTCAGGGGCTGGTCCTGGCCCCCTTCCAGGCAAGGCCCTTCCAGGGGTACTTCTGGGTTTGTGCCGTCTTCTGGGGCCTGCAGCCACCGAAGCTCCTCAGGCTGCAAGGCCTGGTACCAGGATGGCGGCCCACCTTCAGGGTCTAGCACCGGGCTGGCGGCCTCCTGGTCCGCCCCGGAAGGCCCTCGGGCCCCCGGCCTCACCATGGTGCTGTGGAGCTGCAGAAGCCGCTGCATGGGGCCCGGCTGAGTCGCACCTGCCAGCTGGGCCTCCCGTCCCTGTCCCCAGACACCGGCCTCCCAAACTCAGTAACCCGACACTGGCGGGGAGGGAGGCTCTGGTTTCCTCCTCCTCGCTGAGACCAGCCTTGGGAGGGGCAGAGAGCAGGGACCTGGTGCGCAGCCAGTCTCTACGCAGGAGACCTGGGGAACCCCCCCCCCCGAAACTCACAGACACAATCGGCCCTGGCTTCCCAGAACTGCTCCCACCCCTTCGCCCTGACCCCTCACTCCTGGCATCATCATCCTCTAGAGGGCCCCCCATACTTCAACCTATGCCACCTCAAATGCCCACCACAGCCTCGCCCTCAACACCTCTGTACTGCAGTGCGCGCTTCCTGCTTCTCACAGAACAAGGGAAGGTGTTGAGCTAAAGCCTGCGGCTCCCACACACATCCACTTGCTCCCGTACACCTTCCCGCATCCACGCCTTCCTGCGCACACCCTCTGAGCCCAGCTACTCCTCCGGCACCCACACTCCCCAGCCCCACCCCCACGACCCAGGGACCTGGGCCTCTCCCACCCTTCTCTCCTCTGCCTCTTTCCCATCCACAGTGAAACGCGCCCCGGGCTTCCCCACCCAAATAGTAAAAAACGAAACAAGAAAAAGCAAACATCCTTTACAAAGGTCTTTTGTTTTGTTTTGGCAATACTGGTCCCGCGCTTGCTAGGCAAGGTGCTCTGCCTCTTGAGGACAGGCTCATCCCTTTTGGTCTTGTTTTGTGATGGGGTCTCACGTTTATGCAGGGGGCAGTCAGCCTGGAGCCCTCCTCACTGACCCTGCAATAGATCACTGCCACATACAACCCCTCTGCCTTACTAAGATGAAGGAACCCCAATTTTTTGCTCCACCTGACCTTGAGCCTTACTGATCTCTGCCTCCTGCATAGTTTGAATGATAAACACTAGCCACAGTGCCCAGCTTATTGGTTGAGATAGAGGGTCTTACTTTTTTTGGGGGGTGAGGGGGCTGGTCCTGAGACTTGAACTCTGACCTTGGGCACTGTCCCTGAGCTTCTTTTGCTCAAGGGTACTTGAGCCACAGTGCCACTTCCTGATTTTTGTTCGTGAGTCATTTATTGGAGATAAGAATCTCATGGCCTTTCCTGCCCGGGCTGGTTTTGAACTGCCATCCTCAGATCTCAGCCTCCTGACTAGCTAGGGTGACAGTGTGAGCCAACGGCGCTGGACCCTTACTTTGCATAAGGCTGCTGTTGAACCACAGTTCTCTGGATCTCCTCTCCCAAGCAGCTAGCTAGGTTTACAGCCATGTGGCAAGCCAAGACACTGAGCTTGAAGCTGACCTCTTTGTCAACCAATGGGATCAATTTTTTTTGTCTGACCTGACTTTAATAGGCATCAAGATACTTCAGACCATTATCTCATTACTGAAATCGTATTTTCTTTCCTTCCTGCCTTTGGCTCTTCTCCTCAGGCACTCTGAAATCCGCTAGCTCCCTGACCCTCTAATTTTGGTGTCTCTGGGGTTCAGACTTGTGCCCGGGCTGAACTCATTTCACACACCTGGGCTTTAGGTAACAGTCTCTCCTGGAGTCTGACTGTATAGTGAACAGCACCACCATGGACCTAGCTGAGGAACCAGTGCAAGGTGAGCAATGGTGACCATGGCTGCCGCCGCTCAAATCCAGTGATCAATGTGCTAGAACTGTATGGTGACCTCTGACCCTCCCGCTTCCCCTCAGCTCGGCCAGGCCACCCTGGTGCCCTCC